ACCACAGGGATAACTGGCTTGTGGCAGCCAAGCGTTCATAGCGACGTTGCTTTTTGATCCTTCGATGTCGGCTCTTCCTATCATTGGGACGCAGAAGTCTCAAAGTGTCGGATTGTTCACCCGCCAATAGGGAACGTGAGCTGGGTTTAGACCGTCGTGAGACAGGTTAGTTTTACCCTACTGACAAAATTGATACTGCGACAGTAATCCAACTTAGTACGAGAGGAACAGTTGGTTCAGATACTTGGTTAATGCGGCTAGCTGAAAAGCTAGTGCCGCGACGCTACCATCTGTTGGATTATGACTGAACGCCTCTAAGTCAGAATCCATGCTGGCTAAGCAGTGTTTCTCATCGCCTCATTTGTTCTCATCGCCTCATTTGTTCCTTGCATAGGTTTTTAGTGCCTCGAGCACAACATCTCATCAAAGCCCTCTGCGTCATGCGCTGGGCTATAATCGCAATTTCCCACAATTGAGGCGCTACATCTATTGCAGACGACTTTGGCGCAACCAGGTATTGTAAGTGTGAGAGTAGGCTTGTCCTACGATCCACTAAGATTCAGCCTGCGTTGTACGATGTGTTCTTCCCTCAGCATACCCAGCTTGCTGGGCCTTGTGGGGCTTGGTTCAGCCCCAAAGACCATTGTCGAATTTTATTGTTGTGTCTTCGATGAGGTGTCTCACTGTTGGGCACTTGGGCTCGCCTTCTTATGGTCTTCAAATCCCTCGTCACTCCTACGAGATTCTTAAGGTCTCCAAATCCGTCGCCCCTCTAACGGATTGAATTATTCGAACAGAATCCTTATTCGTATACGGATGACGTGGTATTGGCCTTGCATTCTTAAGGTATTCAAATCCGTCGTCATCCTCACTGAATGAAATGTGGGTGTTGGGATACGAGCATCCGCCCATCCATCCATTGACCAACCCAGCAATTATAATTGTGTACGTTATTCCTACGATCAACAAAGATTCAGCATGCGTTATATGATGTATTTTCTCCTCCTTCTATTGTCGCTTCCTGAGGATAATGCCCGTTGCTGATGGATTGCCATTGGTCCACATTACGGCATAGCCGCCTTCAGTTCATATTGGCGTTGACGTGTATTGTTGATGAATAATATCTTACATCATACCCATCAACATGACTTTTCCTTTTTTGCTTGCTTGCTGGGGGAAATAAACAGATTTATCCTCCTGCGGGAAATAAACAGATTTATCCTCCAGTGGGGAGATGTTCCTGTAATATTCACTTTTATTGTTTTCTATTGAATTCAATGTATCTGCGTGTGTCTACGACTATGCTGATGAATTGGTTGCGTGATTCAATCTCTCTGTGTCTGTGATTGCATTGAGGGTTTTTATCTGATATTTATTTCAATAATTATCTACACAATTCAATCTCTTTCTCCCTCTCTCTCTCTCTTTCTCTCTTTCTCTCTCTCTGTGCGTGTTCGGGTGTTTGGGTGTGGGTGTGTCTGCCTATGATGTACTGCCATACTACGGTAGCTAGTAACGGGACTATTTAGCATATGTATAACAACAACAGGATCATGATGAATCCTTTGATGGTTTTTCTCTCTGCCTTTTCCTTCTTGCTAGGAGGAATAAACAGAATAACCAGAAGGACAACCAAGAAGAGCACCGCAAATTTATTCTTTTTACGATGTGCACTCAAGACAGGTAAGAGTTACAGGACCCTCCCCAAAAAAAAGATACAAACTGCCTCTGTATCAACAGCTAACAGTAGCAGCAGCAGCGGCGGCAGCAGCAGCAGCAGCTGCTACAATTGCTGCAGCGGGGCCGCTGCAGCAACTAGGCAGCTTATGTTGCATGCATGCAATACCGCAAAAGCTGCTGCTGCTGGGATTTGCGCTGCTGCTGCCCCGCA